ATTCCTTCTTGCCTTCTTCAGGATATGCTAATCTAATTCACCTTCCTTTTGCAAATTATCACTAACAAGGCATACAAAAGAACTTTTATGTGCTACATCATAGTAAGTTAGATAAATGAAACATGTCATTGCTTAAATTTCAATTAAAAACTGGTAAATAAATTTGATGATAAGCAGGGTAACTAGAAAGAAATGAAAACTTGACTATTGGAGACAAGCTACTAGGAAAATGTCCAAAAATGGGATAAACTTCAAAATAATCCCCAAACGAGCTAAACTTCAAAATAGTCCCACAACTATTCATATATGGCCATTAAAGTCCCCGAGTATCACGTTGCTCTAATTTAATCTTTCAACTATATAAAATTGATCCATTTGGGACTAAATTGGGATCAATTTTATATTTTTGAGAGAGTGATTTAGAGTAACTAAATTGGCCACACATGAATAGTCTGAAAACTATTTTGAGATTTTTCTTATCTAAAAACTATATGCAACAAAAAGTCAACCCTTTATCCCACTACATGGGGTCGGCTACATTAATCTTTTTTCTCCATTGTATCCTATTAAGAGTCAAATTCTCATTTAAATCTAATAAAAAAAGTCATATCTAAAAACTATATGCTCAAATAAAAAACTGCTAAAAAAAATCTAAAGGAATAACATGAGAAATAGAGCACAGTTTGTAGAAACCAAAAAGAAATAAACATGCATAATATCCATATGAGAGATCAAAGAAATTTCATATGATTTTTATTGATCTTGAGAAGAGACATGTGATCGAGTGCCACAACAATTGATTTGGAGCACATTCAGACAAGAAAAGGTCTGTTTTAAAAGCATAATGAACTCATCACAAATATGTATGATAAAGTACTCACTAATTTTAGAAACAGTTTCAAAATGGCATAAAATTTATAATATATTGGATTACATTAATAATCAAAATTGAGTTTATCTTATATAGAATTGGCACCAAAGATTTGTTAGAATCCAACCGTTCAATGCAAATAAGATCCAACAGCTACAGTGCATGATCCGTGGATGTTATATATATATGCTATGCAAAGATGTTAGAAATTAAGGCTATCTGTTAGTTATCTGATGCCTTATCTGATGAAAAATGAAAAAATGTCATGAAAGATGAAATGGCTCTAGAAATAAACAAAACATGGGAAATCATCAACCTACCAAAAGGAAAAAAACCAGTTGGTTGCAACTGGGTATTCTCTATAAAAATACAAAGCTGATGGGACACTGGAAAGGTACAAATCAAGATTAGTGGCAAAATGTTATACGCATCTCTTTATTTACTTTAGAATTAAGGTTTAGTTTATTGTGTAGGAACTAGTCACTTATGTTTTTCTTTAAATGTTTCTTTTAGATATAAATCGTGTGGAGGGAAAGAGTTGATCGGACAAATGAAAGGAGGACACGGATTGAGGTAGGTGGAATGAAAGTTTTTACAAATAATAGCTAACCTTTCTTTCATTGCATTTACATAGAAATGATAAACTCCTTCATGCTTATTATGATATCTTTTTATGATTCTTGCTTCTTTGTAAAAGTAATGGACATTAAAAGCAAAGGTAAAGGTTTTCTTCATGCAAATGCAAAAGTTCTCTTTATGTAAAAGTACAACTTATGGATCTCATGCTCATTTCTCTATTTATTCTATACATGTCTTTCCTCTTGCATGCAAAAGCAAACATAAACATATCAAGCATGCATTTTCTTTATGGAAACATACAAGTGGATTGTTTAAGAATGATTTACATCAAGCATTTCTTATGGTTATATAAATACTAAATGTATGTGCATGTTGACGCGGAAGTATCACATGGAAAAGGAGGCTCTTATGAGCCATGGAAAAGGAGGCTCTTATGAGCCATGGAAAAGGGTGGTTCCTATGAACCAATGGAAAAGGAAATGGCCAATTTATATGAACCTGATCAGTACAAGTGATACTCCTGAGACGGGTGTTATAGTTATACATATATTAAACTATTATGAATGTTTCATACACATGTTACATGCAATTGAGATTATCCCTTGAGGCATGATATTTTAACAAGAAAGAAAGGAAAGGTTATGGAAAGATTAAGCATTTGAAAGTTGAAGTAAAGGTATGTTTTTTTTCTTTGAGCACAACTTGTTATATGATTGATGATTCTTTTGCTAAACGACGGGCGGCAGGTTCTTTTGTGTTTTGGTGTTTTGTATTGAAAGATTAGAATTAAAATGTAAGAGGAAAAGGTTATACTTATGGATCCCCTTTTGTATCTTTTGTAATCTTAATACTAAATCCATTGATTGGTGATCTTTGAAAGAAAGAAAAGAAAAAGTTTATGTTTGGAAATTCCGAAATTGTAGTGGCTCTTTCTTTATGTTGATGCTTCATTTTGGAGTTATATTAATTGTTTTGTAAAGTTTCTTTTATCTTCTTTATGTCCAATCTCTGTTCCCGCCTCGCACTTGCGAGCTAATCGGGCCGGGTCGTGACAGATGGGACACTGGAAAGGTACAAATCAAGATTAGTGGCAAAATGTTATACGCAAACATATGGCATTAACTACCAGAAAACCTTTGCACCTTTAGCCAAGATGAACACCGTCATGATCTTACTTTCACTAGAAACTAAGTACAATTGGCATCTGGAACAATTAGATGTAAAAACTGTATTCCTACATGGGTACTTGGAGGAAGAGATATTTATGGAAATACCACCAAGATTTAAAGAAAGATCTGGAGGTGACAAGGTATGCAAGTTGAAAACAGCCCTATATGGGTTAAAACAGTCACCTAGAGCCTAGTTTGGAAGATTCTCTAAATTCATGCTTAATGGATATCAACAGAGTCAAGGGGCCCATACACTATTCTTTAAACACTCAAACTCAGGAGTCACAACATTTTTAGTGTACGTGGATGATATTATCTTGACTGGAAATAATGAAAAGGAGAAAGATAACATAAGAAAAATTCTTACTAAGGAATTTGACATCAAAGAACTTGGTAGACTAAAATACTTTCTTGGAATCAAAGTAGCTCACTTCAGCAAAGGAATCTTCATCTCACAGCAAAAGTACATTAAAAATCTTCTGAAAGAAACAGAAAAACTAGCCTGTAAGCTAGCACTGACACCAATAGAACAGAATCTCAAATTGGGAGAAGCTAAAGAAAATCCAGATGTAGATAAAAGAATTTATCAAAGACTTCTAGGAAAATTGATATACCTTTCTCACACCAAACCAGATTTAACATTTGATGTCAGTATGGTCAGTCAGTTTATGCAAAATCTAAAATAGGTCCATATGCAAGTAGCAGAAAGAATATTGCACTACCTTAGAGGAAACCTAGGAAAAAGGATTCTCTTTAGAAGAGACCAAGAAATAACCCTAGAAGCATACACTGATGTTGATTATGCAGGATCACCGATGGACAGAAGATCTTCTTCTTGGTACTACACATTCCTTGGACGAAACCTAGTCACATGGAGAAGCAAGAAGCAGAACGTGATGGCAAAATCCAATGCATAAGCATAATATAAAGCTATGGCCCTAGGAATATGTGAGGTACTATGGATAAAAAAGATTCTAAAAGATATGAAGATCAAATGGGACAAACCCATAAAACTACATTGTGACAACAAATCAACAATTAGCATAGCTCACAATCCAGATCAACATGACAGAACCAAGCACATAAAAGTTGACAGATATTTTATAAAAGAAAAATTAGACAGTGGACTTGTATGTATCAACCATCTACCATCAAAAGATCAACTTGCAAATATCCTTACCAAAAAGGAGTGGATAATGCTGTCTTTCTCATAATGATAGCCAAGCTGAGAATGACATATCCATACTTCCCAGCTTGAGGGGGAGTGTTAGAATCCATCCATTCAGTGCAAATAAGATCCAACAGCTACAGTGCATGATCCGTGGAACGCATGACTCACGTCAAAACTCTTTCCATGTTCGGGTAGTTGATTTAGGAAGGATTCTATTAGATTTATTATGTAATTATTTATTTTTGTGTTAAGATTTCTTGTATAGATCTATAAACATGGAAGAAATCATGTAATAAAGCAAGCCTCTTCTTCTCAAACCTCTTGTTTTAAACAAGATTCTTAAAAAAATATATATTCAAAGTGAAGCATATTAATGTATGATTGTTGCAAATAATATAATTCTAATTGGTGTGATATACATCAAACTAAGTGAAAAATTAAATCAATAAAGAAAATGAGTAGAAGATAGAGTATTTATAAATAGTATTAACAAAGATTAGGTATGTAACGTTATTTCAATGGGATTGATAGTAATAATTATCAATCAATATTAATCAAAGATAATGTAATGTCTAGATGTCTTGGATCAAATATACGAAAGAATAAATATATGAATGAGTATATAATTTTTAGAGTTAATTGAATTGTTAAAATGATAAAGTGCCCTATGCGATAAAAGGGTATCATGAAAAAATTTATAAAACTGCATCAGCAATGTTGTATATATCCTAATGTTGAGAAGTAAGAAAATCGTTGATGGCTAAGTTGAGCACAGAACTAATAACATTAACATGAGTGCGATGGAAAATTATGAAGGATAAATTAAGAATTGATTATATTAAAAAAATAGTTGAAATGAGATTTATTTAAGATAAAGGTAAATGAGAATAAACCTATGATTTAGACATGTGCAATGAATCTTAATAAAAAGGACTAACTAGATAAATATATGAAATTAGTATCAAAGGATTAGAATGAGAAGGGACAGAACTTAGGTAATATGAATAGTAGTTCAAAATGATTTACAAAGAATAGAATTTAAAACCTCAAGCAACACATAATATAAATGAATGAAAAATGAGTATTCATAAAGCCAATTCCAAATAGTTGTGATAAGGAGGGTGATAATGATGATATCCTGAACAAATTCTTTATACTTCAATTCTTCAGAAAACTGCATTAACTATTTCAAATAAGGAAAGAGTAGTACCTGAAGCCTCAAATATTTCGCCCCCTTCCCACAAATTCCTAGATTCCAGATAAGCTCATCACTACGATAATATTCATCTAGCCAGATAAAAGTATTGATGTAACTAACCTGCTGCTTCCTAGAAAGGTATCTCTAACACCCACGTCAGAGGCTTCATATTTTTCGAACTTCTTGGTAGTGGAGCTCTGGAAGGGATGTCCCACAAAAGAAAATCTTTGATTATGAGATGAAGCATCATAGTTTTTCCCAATGAATTGCTTTTCCAAATATCCAAAGCTATCTATCAGACATCAGAAAAATAAGTCTGCAATTATACGGTTGTGATTCTAAATCTCTCAAAATAAGGTGTGCAGAACAGTCAGAGAAACATAAATATCACAAACTAAACCGATTTTATTAAATTTAAGTCACAAGATGCCAGTCTTCGGAAAGTATTGCTTCATAACAATAATGGGTAGGCAAGAATGTGAGCATGCGTTTGAGCTCCTACACTCAAACAAACTTTAAAAGGCGGATGCACAAAACACGTGAAATTGGCCAACTTGTGTATCCTGAAACAATTTTCTTTATCCACGACTAGAAGAGAGGCTTACTAGATGATTACTATATGCGTTAAGTGATACATAAACACAAAAGTAGCAGGTACAATAAAATGCAAGTATAGCATCGTAGCACTTCGTACTTGGCTCCAGCTTAAAGAAAAATCCAAAGTCCATATTTCATGGTTAAATTCAACACATGCTGTAATAACTAAGACAAAAGTGTTCACTTCTGCTTATTGTTTCTCATAGTCATCAAGGAATTGCTCATTAGTTTTGTGCATGTAAAAGCTAGTCATTTCATGGTGGTTCTCCTATTCACACTCTCTCACCCACTAATTTTCTTATACACTTCTCATTGCCAGAGCTAATAACTTCTACACACAAGCTTTTTCTTAAGAACACTTACTGATGTACCATCTGCATACTCTTAATGCCTCATCTTCATACTCTCTCTCACTTCAAACTACCTCAACTTCTTTGTCTCCAGCTGGTTTCAATCTCACAAGCATTTTTTTATTTTTTAATTATTCCTTCATCACTTCATTCTTTATATTTTCTTTATCCTTTTAAAAAACTAAAAAAGTATGCATATTGAATGTAACATATATTTCCAAAAATTTATCACACGATGTGATTTTTGTTTGATTAATTAAATGATTACATCGATTAGTATATGTAAATATAACACAGGTCATGAACGCACTAGATAGTAGTTAGTAAAAATGTCACTTATTTTTGTGCTTTGCACCATGTACAATAAAGCAAAAAGGAACTCTTTGGCATTGAGCTTGACGCTTCGAAAACACTAGCCATTACTATAGCAAATATTGGTGGTCTTGGTAGCTGATAGTATCAGGCACTTTACTACAGCCGCTAATACTTAATAGTTGCCTTGCTGGTAGTGTTGTTTGTTGCTGCTTAACTTCTTGACTACTATTTGTTGGTGCCTTCCTGCTACTTCGCAACTATCTTGTTGGCTTGTTTCTGCATTGCAAACTTATTATTGCCTAGCAATTGTCTGGTTTGTTGTTGTCGCTACTATTAATTTCAAACCAAAATCATAGAAATAGATTGTTGTTTGTAGCAATATAGGGAAGAAAATCAATTGCTTTCTGGAGCAAACCAATGCCAAAATAAAGAAATGAAATGTTATCCAACAAAGAAAGAGTCGTAAACAGTAAGAAGTCATCTACAAATTAAGACTAAGCTAATGGTGACGGTGAAAAAATGTGTGAACTTGATCTTTTGTGCCTAGCATTCTATAAAAATATCATAGTATTCTAGATAATATTTATTTGTATTCCATAATTTTGCATATCAATTTAGAAATTCTCAGATTTTTTAACTATGATCCTGGTACTTTAGGCCATTCGTCATCAGGCACCCTGCATAACTGTGGGCCTTCCCAGATTATGGGATCACCATCAAGGAGTTACACCCTTAATCTTATTTCTGCTTTAAGATTTATATCAATTTAACATAACAAATATAGAAAGTATTGCAGCCATGAATCTAAAAAACATTACATGGTATATAAAACTAGTAATCCTAAATTTATGTAACTTTACAGAATAGAAACATAAGAGTATCAGCAAAGAAGAAAATGGAAGTTGTGAAAAATTCTCCATTTTGCTCTGCGCAGTGCCCATAGAATGATTCAATACTGTCGAACACACTTCAAAAAAAACGTAAGAGGATCCCATAATGAAGGTTACCATTTGAATGCTTCTCATTTGAGGCCAATAAGCATGCATCAAAATCTTTTCCCGTAAAAGTGATTTTATCAACTTGATCCTCATGGCAATATGGAGGCACTGGTCCTACTCTGGATTTAAGAGTCGCTTTAGTATTATAAGCCCATGTGCCACTCTTATTGCATAATGGTGATACCCTGAAGTCATCAATCATTTCATCCTGGGGAAAGAAATGTTCAAAAAAATAAAACTGTGATATGTCAATGCAATAAGAACGAATATCTTATGACAGCCTCCCAAGACCTGATTTAATAACCAAGCAACTAACAAATAGTTCAACATATTATTGCTTATTCATTCTAATATTAACAACAAAACAAGACCAAAGCACTTGGTAATTGTTAGTTCTAATTAAATGATTATAAAAAATAAAAGATGATGCTTCAGAGAAGTTTATATCAACAATACCAAAAAGAATTAAAATGAAAAGCACGATGCAAAAAACCATATGGACTAACAAGATGAGATTTGTTTAACAAGCATTTTGTTTCGGTTGCTGAGAAATCTACAAAGATGGCCTCACTGTTAGAACACCATGTACCTAACTTGTTTTGAATACGTTCGTGATGTGAAACAATCCATGCGAAAGATGAGTTGCTTAAGGAAGTTTGCACTTGTAAATTTTAGAGAGCAATGAGAGAGCAATGTTAAGCAAAATCCTCTATTGATGTAAACGATAAGATAACATTAAGGTGATAAAATAGCTTAAGGTCTAACACATGCGAGAGGTTGAGATCATTAAATAGTCAACTAAGACTTACTTTGCATACATGAGTGGTTTCAACGAGAAATTCCAATACTAACAATAAGATTAGTCTATGAAAGATCCCTCACACAACTCTTCCTATTACTAAGTTCTAGCGGCGAATAATTGACATGATCTTCATGAATCCATTAATAACCATAAACGAAAAGTAAACTAGGAAGATAAGACATAAGAGAGGAGTCCCAAGAAGAGCTTTACCCAATGAAAAGATAATGTAGACCTCTTATGCAAGGTCTGGATGCTTGAAAGATGGTTGGCAGCAGCCTTCAACTCTTGGTTGACTGTGGACAGCTGTTTGGCAACTCCTGAGGGGAGAACAGCCACCAACCTTGGTCTAGAATCCTTGGGCAGCGGGTGGGAATCCTTCCAAGCGGCTGGATAGCTTTTGATCTTCGATGGACTGCAACTAGGAGGTCTTCAGGTTGGCGAAACAACACGTGAAGACTGCTGGAATCTATGGACGGTAGATGGGAACCTTCAGGACAGCAAAACAGGGAATTCGAAAGGGCAGAACAGCAGCTTTCCAGATCCTGAAATTCGAGACAGCAAAAGAACCCGTCCAGAAATCTGGACAGCCAATTGTGGAGCAGAATTTCAGGGATTTTCAAATCTCAGATTTGAAATCTGAAATAAACTGAAATTATGTTTGAGAGGGGAGGTAATTAAGAGGTGATGAGGTGGCAATTAGAGAGAGAATCAATGGGGTGAGGTGGCCGGCCATAAGGAGAGAGAAAGGGGCTTGGTAATGAATAAAATGGGGCCCGCAATTAATGACAGATTTTAATCAAAGATTATGAACGGAAATTTCAGGTTTCAATTTAGGGAAGTTTCCTAATGCATGGCAATCAAGAGAATTGATTTGAATTTCAAATTTGAATTGAAACACAATTAAGAAGATTGCCAAAAATCAAGGATTTAATTAAGGAAAGTCAATTATGTCTCATGGGGGATTTGAAATTTCAAATTTCAAACCTCATGGAGGAAGGCCGGCGGCTAGAGGGGGGGACGGAGCCAAGGGGGACGGGTGGATGGCCGGCGGGTGGTGTATGTTTGGGCGTCGGCGGCTTGTGGGGGCCAATGGGGCGGCGGCAAGGTTGAGGGGAGGGAGAACGAAAACTGAAAGAGATCTTTCGGAGGGGGAAAAAGGAGAGAAGAAGAAAAGATATGGGGTAGAAAACCAAAAGCTCCACCAAGGGGCTGTTGGGCATTGCTTTGAGCCTCTCCTAGGCTTTCCTCACTTGAGAACTCACAAAGAGAACTCTAGAACTCACAAAGAGATCCAAAATAAAAATTTTCATTAACCATCATCATCCTCCCAATACAAGAAAACTAGCCTATAAATAGGCCTCATGAGAAGAAAAATAACAAAGACTGAAATGCCCTTCGGGCTACAACACTACATGACCACCCATAAGGGTATAAAGGGAAAAATAATAATATGAAATAAACTAGTACAAAAACATATAAATAAATAGCTCAAGATTGTAGCCGTTGATCTCCGATGTCCTCATCAGTTCGACTATATCATAGTCATCCCATGTTAATCCAATGTCTTCTTCTCTTACAAGACAACAGGCTAATTACATTCAAATGTGTGAAGGCTCTTCAATTAAGCAATAAACTAGCATACATGCAGCACTAGCTGAACCAAATGAATAGAATGCAAATGTTGGTCACTAAATTTGAAAAATGTTTTCAAAATAATGCACCTAATGGAATGAGAAATACCCTAATTAATGTATGATGAGGAAAAAGACCTTTGATGAATCTCAAATTCAACATTTTATTCTGGAGTAAAAGTTAGCGAGAAAATAAATGACAATCCTTTCAGAACATGCAGCACATGATGTCTGTATACTTGTTTAAATGTCATTGTTCGGCTATGCTATTACAGGGGACTATGGCAGGCATTAAATTGCTTGAGTGGAAGGAATTTCTCTCCCATGGTGTATATAATTGCTTTAACGCAATTAGGCATTTCATTTTCATATTATCGGCAAAAATGACTCATGCAGTTTTCTCCTTAGGTGAGTTTTCAATTTTTTGTTGTGATTTGCACCGACAAATCATTCTTTTTAGAAGTTAGCTCATCATTATCATTGTAATTCAGTAAGTAGAATGCAATGGATATTCATCAAGCAATGTGCAGCCTTCAACAACAAGAGCATGAGCGCGTGAGCTCAACACTAGAAGCTTCAAGTTGGTAAACATGTGTATGATATGAAACTATTTCAGAAAATGCTACTGAGAATCTCATTAGCAAACAAAAGAAAAATCATAAAAGTTGAGTATTAATAATTAATTGTTTGCAAAGTTTTCAAATGAGGAAAATAGTTGCGCGAAAACATTTGCCACCTCAACTATGAGAATATCGGATGCTGAAAAAGAATGTTTTAGTTCATACCTAAAAGTCTAAGAGTTTAGTAAATATTTTGACGCCAGCTATTCCTCATAAAGTGAACAATGTATTTATATTTGCTGATAAACCATTATAGAATATGTACCCATCGTGTTTGGTAGGACATTCTTGAATGGTTTCCACAATACAATTTGCTAAAAGTCTTTCCGTAATTAGTGCCATATCTGCTCGCTAGATCTGTCTCTTATCAGACCATGTTCTGAGAGCTATTTTTCTTTTCTTTTCTTTTCTTTTTTTTTTTTCTCTGGAGCGTCTTCATTTCTCTGATTTTTCTTTTGCTCATATGCAATAAGGGAGCCAAGTAAAACACATTTGTCTTTATTGCATATTGGTAAGTTTCATTGGAGCATCATCTTCATAAAGTCGAATAATAATATTTTATGGAGCTAAAATTGCTTTTATTGCATTGTAAGAGGTGAATCACATATAAACAACAGCACCTAAAGAGAACTAGCAAGAAGGTTATGATGAACTTAACGTGCGAATGCAAGCAAGGGCGTTTTTATTTCTGCTGATATCACATTTTAGTGTAATCTCACCTCTGGCCTTTGTAACTCACACTATTTATAGCAAATAAAGTACAAAAGCCCCCAAATAACTTAATAGAAAGTAAATGAAGGTTCGCTCCTATTCTTGAAACATATTGGTTGTAGTAGTATAAACATCAAAAGATGGACATTTAGACAGCCATTATGCACGTAACCATAGAAATGGAAAAGATATTGCTCTAATCTCTATAATGGATTAACAGTAGCGATTTATAATAATCATAAATATTTGAAGGTTACAATAACCATACTAAACAAGTTTAAGGATTTAATTCAGAAATAGGAGATTCTCATGGTCTCACCAGTTCCTCATTACAGCCATCATAAATGGACTGTAGGGCTGATGTTGAACGAACCTGCCTTGACGCTTTTGATTCCATAGAAATGCCCTTGCAGGAGAATCTAGCAAAAGAATGAATTCGAGTGCTTAATGTCTGCAGAGATTTTCATAGAAATATGTGCTTGTCATAGTTAATAGAAATTCTTTAAAAATGGAAACAATGCAAGACACTGCAAAATTCACTTTTTTCTGTCGCACTCCACGTAGACTGATGATGTTATGTTAGCTTTCATAATCAAATGATCCTTCATCAAAGATGCATTTAACAATGCAAAGATCAGAAACAAAAGGGAAGCCCACATAAAAATCAAAACAATCCCCACGCTTCAAACCACATGCATAATTTATGTATTAGCTTTGAGCTAATTTTGTTAGTCTTATTCTATTAAAAAAATCAATTATCGTGCAATATAAATGATAAATTATAAACCATTTGATGCATATAATGCATGATCAAAGAACCATAAAAGCACATAAAATTGTGTATCCAGTATGAATACATGCATAGATCAAGCAAGGATGTCTTAAAGGAAAATAAAGCAAATAAATTTCAAAGCATGCTCTACCTTCAAAAGGCTGATTATGGACCTCTCCATTGGCTTGTTATCAAAATATACTAAAAGATGTAGAACATGATATAGAAGACAAGACCAAATGTGCAGTAAGCAACATTTAAACATCTACTTTTGTGTTGAAGAGAATTCCCTAGTGTTGTATGCCTGATAAACTCCACGTCCAATCAAGTAGATGGTGTGGATTTCATCGTTTGAGCTGATCCATGCACACACTCAACCAAGAAACCATCAAAGCACCCCAAGGTTCAGCTCCAAAGAGTACTTTCTGATGCACAAATCAACTTAGTTCAAGAGGGTAAGTTTGATGCTACTGCATACTCAAAGAACCCTAAGGACACATAGGTTGTGTATCCACAAGTAAATACATAGATCAAGCAAATTTATTTTTCAGGAAAAGATTTGCTAATAAATTCGTAAGCTTTCCCTATTTGCAAAAGCCTTGTTATGGACTTGAGTGACACGGACTCGGATGGCATCTGTTATCAAAACTTACTATGGCATGTAGAATCTTATATGGTGAATAAAGGCAAAGCTAAGTACAGGCAATATTTAAACACCTGCTTTGGTGTTGGAAATATTAATAATTCCCTAGCATTGGATGCGTAAAACACTCCACATTCGATCAAGTGGATGGCAAGGAATTCATCCTTCAAGCTGATTCATGCATTCGTTCAGACAACAAAACATCAAAGCTTCAATGGAATTCAACTCCAAAGAAGAGTCCCATGTTGAAATCAACTTAATAGAGCTTTCAAAAAGCCTAATCTAGTTAGACCAAGAGGGCAGCCTTTTCAAAACACAATCTCTCAGATTCTTAGCTCAGCAAAAAATAACGAAATGCAAAAGTTAAAATAAGCACATGACAGCATATTTATTGAGTGAGCCTAGTGTTCTGAGCATTAAAAAGGTTATTGGTGGATATTATGATATGAAAATGAAAGTCATATCATGCAGATTTAAAATGTAATGCAAAGACTGTAATTCATTTATGTAGCCTTTCGTTGCTATTAGGTTTCCAGTGAACACGTGGTCCTACAGCAATAGGGATGCCATGTTGCCTTGAGTGGCACATGAGGGGAGTCGGTTACCAACTCTCCCTCAACTAGACGGAGCATGGATGCCCTATTATGCTATCCTCAGAATTTATTTGCACCAAAACTAATGATTTGAGAAGATCATGAATGGTGAGTGAGATGAGAAATTTGAGACTAACATGGATCAACCAACCTAAATTGAATTTTTCCAATGCATCCCAAACATGAATAATCAACATCATCCTAACAGTTCAATGGATTGGAGCCCTAGCCTCATAAGAGATGTTGCAACCAACCCCCTCCGACTAAGCGATTGGTAGTTGCTGACAACAAGTGGCATCATACCAGTATTAGTAGTGTAAAGTGGCAGGCCATCTAATGATAACAAGGGAGCAAAGCATCCCATGCAATGGAAGTGTTTCTACATGGCAATGGTCATGGCAAGGGGAGGATGGCCAGGGTTACCACCTTGGAATTTGTGGAATATTGGAGATCACATATTTGTTAAGGAGGCAGCAATACTGTCACCCCATCCACTGAGAATGGGTGATGATTGTTGCCACCAGTAGTTGCAACAAATGGTGGTGTTTAAGTGCTAAGCTTCAAGGAACCTCTGTATGAATGCCTACATGAAGTAAGAAATATTTGAACTCTGGCTGTAGAAGCATTTTGCATAAAGTAGGAAATATCCAAAAATATGCATGACAAAAATGATGACCTCACATATGAATGTTGACCTATTACCAACTCTAGGATTGAGTCAACCACGCATGACCAAAATGATGAATGAAGAAAGCAACGTCACAAAAAATCTGTCCAAAAAACATTGACCAAAAGCAAAATTGCCGAAACATTATCAGTTTGCAAAACAAATAGCTCTAACGTGTTAGAAACAGCTAAAACGGCTAAAAGATTGAAACTCATATTGGTCAGGGTTTTCAATTATCAAAAATCAATTTTTGCGCACACGAAACAAGAATGAAATAAACATGCACAAACGACAAAATTTTGAGGGGAAAATCGATGCACAACTAACATAAATAAATTTTATTATTACTTGAAATTATATTTATATTTAAGTTCATTATATATTTATATAATTTCAAATCAAATATAATAAAAAAGAGAGAAAAAGACATTTTGTCTTTCAGCTGTCATGAAGCAACTTTTCAAAATAAGAAATAAAAAGAAAAGCAAAAATCATTAAAAAAAAAAAAGCAAAACCCTAAAACTACCCAAACCAGCACCTCACACACTCAAAATCCCTCACTCACCCTAATTCCCTCATCTCACTTAACAGAGTAGCCGACACCCTCTCTTTTAACCCTAATTCCCTTCTTTTCACATGAGACTCACCCGATTGATGCGGGCAAAAGATATAGGGAGCCTATACCCTTCGCCCATAAAAGACACGACGGACTTCTAAAAACGAAATGGACTAAGGACGAGTCTACATCACCGATGCCCCCTCTCTCTTCCTCTCTTTTGTGCAACCCGGCAAGCCAACCTGACACAACCTCACGCCACTGTCAACCTTCTCAACCGACCACCGCTTGCACCACCCTAGCTGCAGGCCACCTCTCTCCTCATTCCTCTTCAACATATACTTCTTCCTTCTCCTTTTTCTTAATTCTTCATCCTCCTCAATTTATTCTTATTATTCTCTTCTTTCTTCTTCTCTTCTCCTTTATTCTTCTTCTTCCACTTCCATTTTCTTCTTATTCTCATTCTTCTTCCTTTCATTTCCTCCAACCTTTCTACCTCACCACCTCACTCTCTCCCATATTCTCTCTCTCTCTAAACTACCTTTCTCTCAGTAAGCCACCTTCCTCTCTCTACACCAACCACCCTACATCTCTCTTCTCCCCTCTCTCTCTCTAAAATGAAAGAGATAATTCATTTTCTCCCGCTAGCTCTCAATTTCTACCCGTCAACCATTCTATTTCTCTCTACATAGAGAGAAAATAATTTCCCTCCCTCTCTAAAAAGAGAGAAATCCCTCCATCCCTCTCTTTTTCTCTCTCTTAAAAAAGAAAGCAAAAAAACCAAAAAAGAAAAAAAAAACTATTTCAAGCATCACCTCGCCTTGTCTCATTAATGTCGTCCTCGCCGCTACACACCTGAAGTTATAAATCTCAAAACCTTTAAAACTCCAAAATCTCTAATAGAACGAGTTTGGCGTGACGAGCAAAATCCATGCATGCTTTTCTTACGTGGCATACAAAACTCGTAAGTGAAACTTCCGACATAACGAGTAGGCCCTTTGTAGACTTTCTTAGCACGGTGTGATAAAGTTAAGTCCTCGTGCGCACCTTTTTTAACGCAGCGGGGAAACACTATGACTTGCAAAAAGATAATTTAAGACCCATGCATTATTTTTCTTCACTAGTCGGATTGAAAATTATGGTTGTGATGCAAGCCTTTCTTAGCGTGGTGAGAAGACCCAGCATACCCGATAAAGCCCCCAACACAAAAAAGACGCTGGGATACTTTCGAAATTTGAACTAATGTAGATCTAAACATAACTTAAAAAAGAATTTTTTAAGCACAAATTTGATTTAAAATATATGTATATATAATATAAATTAAAACTCAAAATAAATTAATCAAAATGAGACCAATGTTGCAAAAATGAAAATAAGAATACCTAAAATAAGAGTTACAAGGGACTTGTGGAGAACTTGAAAGCTCGCCAACGAGTGCAAAACAAGGCCTCCCCTTTAACCTCTACAACACTTGCAAACGTTCAAAATTTAAGAAAATGTGCACCTCGTGAACTGAACTTGGATGAAAGCCAAAAGGGTCTCCATAATTTTAACATTAAATATTTGTGGCACCCATCGAATTAAAATCTAATCAAATAAAGAGAAGGAAGGCAAACATGTGTAAAATATGTTAAGATGTCATTTCTTGGCGCTCCCATTCAGATTTCCCACATGTACAAGTAACAAAAGTTCAAGTGATGCGCTTAAATATGAGCGATAATTAATCTAAAATATGAAATTACAGATACGACCTACGATAACACAACCATGTGAACGATTGCCAAGTTAGACGCTTACAAATCTCCAACGGTTGTTTCACGTGAATATCTCTAAACAAAATAAAATGAACAAACTTGCTACAAGTCACGAGTGTACGAATACCCTACACAACAAGATAGCTACAAAAGAAACGGAACTCGTACAGATCTTTAGCCCAAGAAAGCATGCCTTAATAAAAAAACAAAACAGTGCACTGTTACGCATTACAGGTTACACGACTACTTCAACAAAGTGTGCAGGACGCATCAAATCACTAAAAGAGAATCTTGTCTATGTGCCCCCTATACGTATAGTGCAAGTGTACCTAAGACATACAAATATATTATACAAGCACATGAAAAGCGTACAAGCATTCAAGTATGCAAATACATTGTATATGTGCATCGAATTTTGTGTAGATTTAACATGCAAATGCAATGAAATCCCACAACCAAGATTTAAATTCCAAATCTCTTTTAAATGTGTGCATATGCTCTGGCGAGCACCACAAATAAGCAAGCATGACGTCTGAGAGTTCTGTATAGACTAAAAAATTACAAAAGATTTTAAATTTCTAGTTAACGATTATGCAAATGCACTAAAATACATATAAGTGCATCGTGCAAATACACTAAAAATTGCACCAACACAATCAAATATATGGATGCATCATTCAAGTGCACAAAAAAGTGTACAAATACATTGGCAAACGCACTAAAAACACACACATCATTTGAAAAACACACACATCATTTTAAATTTCCCACCTGTGCTCTGCCAATGTATCAAACTCTCAAACCTATGGTCTAAGAATGAAAAGTGTAAACACAAGTAAATACATTGCAATGCATACAAGTGTATCGTGTGAATGCATCAAAAACTATGCCAACACGATCAAAATATATGGATGCAACATGTAAATGCACCGAAGAACGTGCAAATACATTGTGCAAACGCACTAAAAGTGCACACATCATTTTGAAAGAAATTTAAAATTCCCACCTATGCTCTGAATGATGTTTCAAACTCCCAAATCTATAATCCGAGAATGTTGTGTGGGTTAAATATAAAATTAGATTTTAATTCCATTGCTCCTCAAAAGGACCGGAATTGACAAGACTTTAATTAATAAGTGAACATAAGGCCATGAGATTCAAGAAAGTATTTTATTTTTGTGTTCACATTAAGCCTTTAATGTTTCTTACAAAGAAAATTCATTATAAATTGCGAACTCTCGAGCTCAATATTCATATTAATCACGAAATCCGTAGTTGAACCCGACCCCCGGTTATTAGACGAACATAGTTGAAAAGGTTTACTAATAGAATAACATTACTTAAAATCATTTTGACGATGACCATATTGACAAAAAATCTCAACTAAAAGGGACTCAACTTTTTAAATGCCTCAAAACCGTGATTAAAAAAATATATATTTTTCAAGTAACTTCAACGTCGCTCCAATGATAGGCGTGTTGATAGAAATCTATGATGCACCAACACTCCATAAGAGGGAATGTAGTGTCGGACACATGTCAGACACAGACACACGCCCGACATAGCTGGGACATGTGTCGAACACAACAGATCCGTGTCGGATTAAAATAATATATAAATTAAAATGGACATGCGTGTCCTATTATTTGATAATTAAAATTAATTAAATTACATTTTTTAAAATTTTAATATTCTTTTAATCAAATAAAACATGTATATCCTAGTATTCACATCTTAGTGGCGCCCGTATGCTCAAGGGTTTTCATTTTCACAATACTGTCTCCCTAGTCTTTTTCCTTTACATGACCAGGCGAGTGAGGCGAGCCGACCGAGTGAGCTACTATTTGATTGAAGCCCGATATATCCCTATTTCGTCTTCTTCGTCTTCTTCATTCATTCATTTTCGACACTTTGTCAATTTTGCGACATGGCGAGGCTAACTGATCAGGCGATGTCTTGATTTGAAGCCTGGCACATTCCGATTGAAGCAATTTTCTCATCCTTCTCTTCATTTCCATGCGCAGCTATGATGCACAGACACCAACACAGCGACATGGATAGGACACAACACGGACACATGACATGTCAATTACTGAAAATATAGGATATGGACACGGACTGGACAAGGTATTATAATTTTTATATTTTAAAAATAGTGCATAAAAATTGAATAAGTATAATATTAAAAATAATTTAGAAAATAAGTTATTTAACTAGAATATGTGCTTAAAATAATTAATGTTAGGATGCAATGAATCGAGCATCGATGTCGTATATCAAGCATCGAGAGAGGAGACAATAATGATGTTGAGAGCGGGCGTCAATGTTATGCAGTAAATATCAGGTGCAATGTCAAGAGGGCGTCTGTCGTCGATGTTTAGAGGATATTGGTCATAAATGTTAAAAATACGTCAGACTAAAGATGAGCTATAAAGTTGTGGGTGTAGAAATTGGTAGCGCCGAGCATCAATGTCAAGACAGTATCGACTTTGATGTGTAAATAGTTTTGAAATGTCGATATTGTGAAACCAAAGTCGCAACCCGCCAAAGAGAAATGAAAATGAGAAGATTCAATCAATGGGGTATTGAGTGCAGACGATTGATTTAGCGTTGTGGATAGGAAATAAGAAATTTAGTTTTTATATTAGAAAGTTTTTATATTTAAATAAGTAAAAAGTTTTAATACACGAAATTTTATTTAAAATAATTCATAAAATATTTAAGACACGCGTGTTGGACACACATGTCCAATTTGTATTTAATATTTTTTATCTGACACATTTTTGGCGTGTCCGACACATATCAGAGAAGTAACGGACGCGTGCCGTGTCGAATGTGTCGGACACTATATGCCTATTTGAGGAGAAGTGTCAGTGCATCATAGATGTGCAGGCATCTGGCTCGTTCGTCTTCTTCATTTTCGCAAGCACCAAGCATCAAAGTGTTCTGACTCTTGTGTTTAATCTGTCAAAGGCAGAGGGTTCGATTGAGCTACTGCTCGATTGAAGCTCGATATATCGTCGTTCCCTCGTCTTCTTCGTCTTCCCCATTTGTTTGTTTTCAACTCTTCATCAATTCTGCGACAAGGAGAGGCCAATCGAGCAGCTGACTTCTCGATTCGAAGGTAGAGGAGGGAGAGTGAGGAAGATATGTTCGATTGGAGTATAATTTGTTGGCTTCTTTATTTCTGCAAGCTAGTGAGGGGGTCAGATTTACCATTCAAAGTTAAATAAATTTTTATATTTACTTATACAATATCTTAATCTACAAATCACATCAAAATTGTAATGTCGTGTCTACATCGTACCTGTGTCCTATATTTTTAAAAATAGTCATGTCCAATGTCTGTATCATGTCATATTGTGTCGCTATGTCCATGCATCTTAGACAGAAACTCTCAACCAAAGGGGACTATTTAACTTTCGAAAATGCTCAAAAAATATTTAAAATTAATTATTTAGAGCTTAAATTTTGCTAAAAATTAAAAATTCAAATTCGATCAAAGTTTGAATATTTAAAATAAAATTCAATACAAAAAATTTAAAGTAAAAGTCCACCACTTCTCCACAACAATTTATCAAGGGTGATAAATTTGAGAATAACTTCAGCTCACAAAAATGGAATATCCAGTCGAAAACATCGCTAAAATTTATACACAAGTAATTTTTCGCTATTAAGAACGTGGTGCATGTCCTCTAATAACTGATTTTGCCACAAAAAAGCACCACAGATAAATAATGATGACCAGGGCCATCTAACCACACTATTTTACCACGAAATAGCGCCATTAAATTATAGTTACAGCTAGAACCCATATGCTCCCCAATGGCTCAAACTCGTTGAGTAATAAATCAGTATACTTGATAGAGCACACAACCCTCTATTAACAAGTGTTAGCTCAAATTTGTCCCCTTAAACGAACATCCACCTCAAATCTACAAGGTGCCCTTGGATGAAACAACTCATAGCTACCAGCAATGATCTTTCAGTCAACTTAAGTTGACTACCTCATTTAACTTACTTGAGACCACCACAACCCAGGATAACGGAACCATGGAATCATGATCGGACTCATCATCTTCCCCCTCCAATCCGCTTTAAGTATATGGTGATGAATTTCAAACCTTAATAATCTATTTTTAACCCTTAAAAATCATAATCTAACAATTGATGCTATTATACATCAGGTACTTAGTGTTTATCTAACAATTATTCTTAATTAAAAATTCTTTCTTTAGCGGGAAGGATAATTAACCGTAGGGGCTTGCGCCTATAAGAAATATCAAACTAAATTATAAAGTCCTTGTAAAATAAGGGTGAAATCTCTAAATAATGCCTTATCTTAAATCTAATTTGACTTTTGAAAATTTGACCCCGAAACCCAATCCATTAAAACTCTCCTAAAAAAAGCATGGAGAAGCCGAGAACACGAGTTTTCAAAGCCTGCGATGAAAAGAGTTTATGGAACAAAATCGGAATGGGCACTATTCCATCATTTAAATCTACAAAAAATAAGTTTTTTTCCTTTAGTAACCTTATATTTATTGGGCTTAATGCTTTGAGTGAAATCAGGGTTAATATTCACTCTAATTTTCTTATGATTTTGCTTGCTTCGGCAAACCAAAATGATATCAAACTTGTTCCCAATCTCAAGAGCTTGAGATTTTGTAACTTCTAAATGCAAATATAGCATTTTGAAGGCATGATTTGATTTTCTCAAGCCTGTGCTCGTTGCTAGAGAGAAAAAACCAATTTCCATAGTTCTCTTTAATCTCTTGGGATAAATTCCTGCCATTAGAAGCTGGGAGGACCACAACAGTATCATCTACAAACACAACAAGGTACATATGTGTGGGATTACAAACACCTGATCATAAATAAATCCCTACATGTATGAATAAATCGATCATACATACACCGTTGCCATACTCAAAATTGATCAAACCAAATAAATCATGTAGCTTGTTAGCACAGTTTCCAACAAACAATAGTTCACTTATTTTAGCCACACAAAAAAATATGATGGTGAAAAATGAACCTATTCTGCATTCTTGGTGAATGAGCAGGAGTTTGACACCCTATTTTTCCAAGACCTAACCAACAAAAGATAGTAAACAGAAAGTTAGAAGAAAACAGTCGGGAAAAATAGCATGAAAGGCAATAATTAACCAAACATACTGATGTAGAATCTAGCTTCAGTAAATAATTAAACAAGCAAATAGATGTTGATGCAGCTTGAAGAGAATCTTCATAGGACAAAAGTTAGAGTATACTGTGCTTTTTTAGTTTGAAATATCCTTATGTATAATTATTTCATCGCATTTGCTGAGATGTCTTAATTGTCCGATATAACTTCAACCCAGTATTTCTATCACTAAACTATTTTTTAATGTGCTAATGAGATAAATCCTCACGCTAATTTCCACTATCCAGTTGCCTCTTGTCACAAATTATAAGACTTAAAAGTTCATCAAAATAAGCATATTCTTGAACATTGAACAGCTAAATGTGTCAGCTTGCTCTAAAACAACAGACCAAACGTAAAAGTTGTAGCTTAGGTTAAACTATTGCTATCTTGCAGGCAAACCAACTTGACAAATCTTGCGTGTTTAGAAAGGTGGCACTAACGTGTTTTTTTAAAAGAGGAGAAAAAGCAATCAAGTTCTAATGGGAGTAAATAATTTTGGCATGTTGTACTAAAAAGCTTGTTGAATCTTAGGAATTTTAAAACATAAAATGATAAGCAAAGGTTTATTTTTATAGAATGAGAGTGCCATATTATCCATGGAAACAGAAAAGGTAGGACAAAAAAGAAAATTGGAAAATTAGAGAAATGAAATACTAAAACTATCAAGCGAATGCCACAAGTAAGTTCTTAGACTTGTAACTTAAGTGCTCTGTTTTTCTAGACTTACTAATCCGGTCCTTCATTTTATTGTCATATCAGGATAGGTAAATCAATTGCTAAAGTTATTGCATGAGACAAACGCTGGATGTTGGAGACAATGAGGAAGGACACCCATGCAGGGTCACCATAGAATCACAGGCAACAAGTTTTTTTAAGCATAGTGAGAAGGCCCAGGACCCCCAAATATGCCTTCCATGCCGAAGAAGTTCCACGAAAGTATCAAAATTCAGATGGAATGAAATCAAAGGGAATAATTCAATGAACTTCTCTAAACTTGAATGCAATAAACTGAAAGGATTAAATGTGAAATTAATAATAAAAAATAAACACCTAAAATGTCATACAAGCTACATTGGAAAGAACAAACATTAAGAAATGGACTGAATAAAAGGAATAATAGGGGACTTGCACTAACCACAATAGCTCACCTACGGATAAGATCACAAACAAAACCTCCCCTTAGCACCCCAAACTCTTAAATCCATGGACTTGAATGAGAATGAACTAGGGCTCCCTTATTTAAAAACAAAAAATTAATTTTTTGCGGGGTTCAGACTCTTCTTCTACCCCACCAAATCCGCATTATATAAACGCGAGCAAACAAAAGGCAAAAAATGATCCTTCAAATTTTTAAAATAAAATTTTGCGCATATTCCAATGAAAAATGTTCGCACAATAAATAAATTTTGAATAATTTTCAAAATAATGCATATTATGCTTATGTAACAATATAATTTTTAAATTTAAGCGTGCAACTACTTCGAAATGCATACAATTGTCTCAAGATAAGCACAATTGTCTCAAGAAGCATGTTCTCACTTCAAAAAGCATGGAAGTGCTCTATATAAATTCATCAGAAAGTGCACGAATATATTAAAAAACATTCAAGAATACTATTTAAATGCATCAAAAAACACAACTACACCATGTAAGCGCACAAATATATTGAAAAGTATACATGTGCATAATGTGAATACACCAAAAAGCATGTAAGTGCACGTTATACACACATCAAGAAATGCGCAAGTGTATCGTGAATGAGAAAAATATGGTATGTATTAAAAGATGTGCACGCCATCTAAAAGAAAAATCAAATTGTTGAAGTCAAAACTCACACACATGTGATATTATAAATGTGCTAATGTCCAAGCTTGAAATCTAAATGTTTTGTGTACTAAAAATAACTTGAATCCAAACTTACCTAACTCCGAGAAGTGTAAAACCATCTTAAAAATGATTATATGATCACTTTAAAATTTTGCTAACTCTTTTTTTGAAAATTAAACTCATCATTACACAAAGCTCTCGATTGAGCTCCCTCACCTATAGGGCAAGGTCGTAAGTCTCAAATTTCAAGTTAGATCCTCCTCATTGCATATGTAGGGGCCCACCTTTAAAATTTAAATTAAAATTTTCTAATTGCAAACCCAAATGTTTTAAACAATCCAACCTAGATGATAATTGTGCAGAAAACAAATATCAACTAGAGGAGATTATATTCCTGAAATGCTCAAGAATCTCAAAGCAAATCATTTCATGCTCAAATTAGGATATGAATACAAAAAAAAAGAATTCCAAAAAAATACAAATATAAAAATATTCAAATAAAATTTATCCATATAACATAAAACAAAATCCATTCATCTAACAAATTTAAGATTAATGTCAGCTTAGAAAGAGTGAACATGATGTCAAGCATATTGTTATGCTCATTCTCAAACGATCTATCACTAGTCAGGACATGACATGTGTGAATAGGTGATTTTACTACAAGATGACACCACATGTAAACGGTTATTACAAGGGCCATCTAACTAAATAGTTTTGTCGGAAAATGTACAATTAAATTATAATCATAGCCATACCAATAAGTTTCTCAATGGCTTAAAAACTATTGAGTTGTGAATCATAGAGTGAGATTAATAGGACAAAAAACCCTTCGTGAGTTAAGGTCAAGGTAAATTCATCCTCTTAGACAAATATCAACCCCAAATCCATAAGATTCCCTTAGACGAAACAACTCATGGTTATCAGCCAGGATCCTTCAATTAGTTTGGGTTGATTGACTCCTCTGATTAAATAAGTCAGGGACTAAGACACCCTAGAATGATGGAACCATGTGACATTGATTAAGTTTATAATCACTCCCCCACCATCCCCTTTAAGTTTAAGATGATAAATTTCACAATCCAATTCCTGGCAACTATATGAGTTTCTTATCTGCAATATAATTTATTTTTTAAAAAATTTTACCACAAATCACAATCTATCTTGCAGAATTAGACACAAATTTTTAGAGCCCATGGTATCTTGTATATTGTTGGCGCCAATGCAAATAAAAGTTCGCATTATAGATTAATGATCATAAATAAAAAAAAAAGTTATATTCCTTTAAACCTAACAAAACAAGAAGCACCTTAGAAGTTTGACCCTATTTTTTTCCAAAGTGACCAAATAGGATGAGGAGCAACTCAGCTTTTCCAAGATCAATTGTACAAATATGTTGAAAATAATAATATCCAATATTCACTTTTAAATCACGCTTCGACTTATAACAACTTTACCAAGAATTTTCAAGTCAAATACTTTATATAGCCCGATGCTTTAAGCAAAAGGAATGTATTTCTTAGCGTTACTTTGATTGCAAATAATAATAAAGATAGATGAAACCATATTTTAACCAAAGAATTAGTATTCGGTGCATTACCATCCACTGAAAGTGCTACATGAGTTTCAGGAATTGATCTTCCATTTGAAGATGGCCCATCATCACCAAGTAAATCAAGAACAGTAGCCTCTGGAAAGGAGAATGGTAGATAAAACACTAGACAACAAAATGTTCCATTGAGAATACTGACGTATACCAATTCGAGGCTTTTCCTTGAATGTGTCATCCTTCCAGGTGGAAGTATGATCTGAAATGGAACCGGGCATCTTATATTTATTCACATTCTCGGTGCATTGATAAGAATCATTTCCACTGACTTGAGGAAGATTGCTGATTATAACATTGAAAGCTAAATAAATATACCCCATGACATAAAATAAAATTTTGGTGGAAAAAAGCAAGCAAAAAGATAACAACCTGTCAGAAAAATTTTTCTGTTGCTCCAATCCTGATAATTTGAGAACCAAAATGGACGGATGTTATAACAGCAAATAAAAACAATTTAATAATGATCCTAATATCAGGTTTTTCAAAATCAATGCATTTCAAGTCTACGAACGTTGTAGACAGACATGGGCAAAAAGATTCTTACTGGTTTCAAGAACCGTGGAAAAATTGCGACTAACTTTTCCCAACAAACTATCATCTGAAATCTTTGCAACGCCGGAATCCACTGAAGCAGTATGTTCTGCACAAGCTGAAACAACAATGAAATTAACATGAAAACAATACAAAGTTTAAGGAAATTAGCAGGCATTTTTTACTTCTTTTGCTTAATCTAAAGATGCCCTTTGTCACACATTTCACCACCAAAATCAAATGAAACATCCTGAAACTTCAAAAGAGATTTGCCAATAAAGAAAATCAGCAGTTGATGTCTATAAAGGTAACATTCCTAAAGAGGAAATTTTTTTAGAACTAGGATGGTAAGACTTATACACTTTTCAATTGCATTTTATGGCTCTTAAATCAAATTTATTGTTTTTGTAGTGTTGATGAGTTAGTTCTGTGTGAAATATAATTGTGTCGATCAATCAGATTGTATTGTTGCCTTGAACCTCAATTCTGTTGGTCGAACGCTATAGGATTGCAGGGGATCCCTCCCCCTGCTTGGGTTAGGGAGCAAATTTCAGCCGGAAAAAACTTTTTTCCGTTCAACCACAGCATTGCAACACTGCCCAATCAGATTGGAGACAAAGAATAGAGCACTATGACGCTCTAGACCGCAGTGTTGCGACGCTTTCAATCAGACTGGAGATAGAAAGTAGAGCTTGGCAGCGCTCCAAACCTGACACTGCGGCCCAACGAGTCGAGTTGGGCAATTTTCTTTCTCAATTTTCTTGTTTAACTTGAATGTTACATCCCTTAGGTAACTTTATGTGTATTTGTCCATTCTATGAAGAGAACAGTACAACAATAAAGAGAGACTAGGAGAGAGAGAGAGAGAGAGAGAGAAAAGAGATATATGAATAATTTCTCCCTATTTTAATAGTTGGTTTCTTGGTGTGATGTGGCTCTATAGTTATTTTTTCTAGTTTTGAGTTTTTCATATTAAATCCTGGTGTTGTTTCTTGTTTGCTGCATTTTTTTCTTTCTTGTTTGTGTTTGTTGTGTGGTTTACTTCCCAACATGATGGACTTGAGCAATACTCCCAAAGATTTTAGTCGAAGCAATGAGTGATGTATATTTGGAAAAAATTTAGTAAGGGCTCGATAGGTGTTTTGTTTTGTAAAATTTTACTGGAAGGACAATTTATACGGAATGTGATAGTTAAGGTAGTTCCCCCCAATAAAATTTGGAACATTATTTTCAAAGAGTAGGGCCCTACTAATTTCAACAAGATGGATATTTTTTTTCTTTTTGTGACCCTTTTTTTTGCGGGCATCATCGATGTAGAGATATCGTTGGCCCTTGATGTCGATGTTAAGATGACATCTGTCGTCAATGTTGAGATGAAATTGTGGACAAAGATAAGATGTTGAGATGGTGTAGGGCGAGATTGTGAGTATAGAAATTGATGGCATCAAGCGTTAATGTCAAGAAAATATCAAACTTCAATGTTGAGATGATTTTAAAACATTGATGCTGTGACGACGTCAAAGAGACGGCATTGTACGTTATTATGAAATCCTAATTGTAACTAGTTATATAGAAATGAAAATGGGCATGTTTGGAGAAATGAGATATTGAGTACAGGCGATTGATTTGGGGCAGTGGAGACAAAATAATAAAATTATTTTTTTATCGTTTAATAAATAAAATATTAAAAGTGCAAGAAATTATATATTAAAAAATTATAAAATACTTAAGACACACGTGTCGAACACGCATTTCCAATTTATTCTTAACATGAGAAAGGAGAAGCCAATAAGCAAAAGCAATTTAGGCTTCGTTTGGGACAGCTTTCTAAATGCTTCTTGAAGCAACTTTCTAGGACAAAAATTTTAATTTTTATACTAAAAAGCTTCAGTATAAAAATTTATTGAGAGGTATGATAGAGAAAAATATAGAGAGAATAAGGAGGATCTACATATGATATTTATTGATTTAGAGAAAACATATAATAAAGTTCTAAGATAAGTGCTATGGAAAGTTCTTGAAACGAAAGAAGTTAATAATGCTTATATTCAAATCATTAAAAATATGTATACATGAGCTACTACTTGTGTTCAAACACAAAATGGTTTGACCAAGTATTTTCCTATTTCGGTTGGATTACATCAAGGATCAGCCATAAGTCCATATCTTTTGCTTTAGTCATGGATGTTCTCACTAGACATTTGCAAGAGGATGTACCTTGATGTATACTTTTTGTTGATGATATTCTTCTTGTTGATAAGACTAGAGAGGGAGTTGAAGGTAAACTTGAATTATGGAGGTCAACCTTAGAGTCTAGAGTGTTTCGCTTGAGTAGGTCTAAAACTGAATATATGGAGTGTAATTTTAGTAGCAATAGACCTAGTGAGGGGATTGTGACTTTGGGCGATCAAGTCATTAATGAGTGTACACGTTTTAAATATCTTGGATCTATTGTTCAAAGTAATGGTGAAATAGATGGGGATATTATTAGCAGAATTCAAGTTGGATGGTTGAAGTGAATGAATGCATTGGGCTTATTGTGCGATGGAAAAGTCCCCCTCAAACTTAAGGGAAAATTCTATAAGATGTGGTGAGACCTGCAATGCTTTATGGTGCCGAATGTTGGCCATTAAAAGATAAGCATAATATTAAGTTAAGTGTGGCAGAGATGAGGATGCTCAGGTGGATGAGTGGCTTTACCCTTAGAGATAGGATATGAAATTAGCATATACCTGAAAAGGTTGGAGTAGCTCCAGTAGAAGATAAGATTAGAGAAAGTCGCCTTAAATGGTTTGGTCACATAAAACGGCACCTCCCCAAATTCCCCACCCGTCGGCTACTTCAAGCCCCCTAGCCGCCGGTCAAAGCCACCCGCCCCCTTCCTCTCCTTGGATCATCGCCACCACCTTGAGCCACCGGCCTTCTCCAAGGTATTCCCCCAAAACCACTAACCGCCAGCCTCCTTCGCCTCTACAACCGCCGGCCACCACCCCAGCAGCCGCCGGCCTCCACCTCTTACCTATTCTCTCTACTAGTCTAGCTGCCGCCCCCTCTTGGCTCCAACAAATTTTGAAATTCGAAATTCCCAAGGTGGTTATTTCCCTGCCTAAAATGAGTTCTAGTTAATTAGGAAAGTTTCTAAATTGGATCTCAAATCAAATATTGGAATTCAAATTCTTTCCTCATGCTCAAACTTAAATTAGGAAATTTTCCTAATTGAATTAAATCTGAAATATAATTCAGATTTGATTAAATCACTAATTGATTTCGTTGGGGCCCACATACTTAACATAACTTCCCCTCTCTCCCATCCCCATATGGCCGGCCCCCTTCACCTTAATTTCTCCCCAAATGAAGCCCCCAAATCCCCCACTAAATCAGCCCTAATCCTCTCCTAATTACCGCCCTCCCTCCATTAAGGAATAAATTTGAATTGTCAAATTAATTCCTTCCCAAAACCAATCAAAAATCTGAATTAAAATTCAGAGTCCTGATTTCCCTCCTTTTCCCCTCAACCCTAGCCGCCTCAACCCCAAACCATCCCACACAGTTTTCACCCCAATTCTTGAAATTCCTAGGTGCTGTCCAGGAGGCTTCGGCAGGCCAAACAGCTGTCCTACTCGCCAAAAATCTCCTGCTTGTTGTCCTAAAAGTTCGTAGCTGCTTCCCAGGAAATTTTCAGCAAGACGAGCTGCTGTCCTGCTCCCCTAGAACCTCTGGTTTGCTGTCCTGAAGATCCACAGCTGCTGTCCAAAGGTTCCAGCAGGTTCCTAATGTTGTGTCGCCATCCGGAAGGCCTTTATTTGATGTCCAGATTGATGAGGACATCGACAGACGCTACCGACATGTTTATCGCCGGCGAAACCGCAGATCGACGGCCACGATTCATCGCCTCTACTTTTGATTTAGATATCATGATGTATTTTATTATTATCTTGTTTTATTTACTGTCTTTCCATTTTTACCCCTGTGGGGAGTTATTTTGTCATTGTAGCCCAGAGGGCAATTTAGTATTTTCGCTTTGTATGAGTTGAGACCTATATATAGTGGTCTCTTGTATCATTTTGAGGTTAATGAATATTTGAATCAAATTTTGTGTTATCTTCTTCTTCTTGCATGAGAGCTAGAGAAGGGTGATTGAGCTCGAGATGAGCGTGTGCAATACCCACCAGTCGTTGGAAGCGTCCTCGACTCGTGCTTCATGTTATCTTCTTGTTCTCTTTTCTAAATTTCGATTCTCTTTTCTCCACTTTAACCTCCACCACAACCCACGCTACGTCAAGAAATTCCCCAACCCAACGGCAAGCCTCCCTCCTCCTTTGGCCGCCGGCCACCTCCATGCCCAAGCCATGATGGGGATGTTAATTCTCCTAACGGCTCCTTGATTGTAGCCTAGCAATAAATTTAGGAGTTACTGAATTTTGACTTTCAAAATTTGAAATTCAAAAACTTTCCATATTTGTCAAACTCCAAAAAAGGAAAGTTTTGAAATTGATCCAATTCAAATTTCATAACATGAGGAGTTACTAATTTTCATCCTAGGTGGCAACAACCTATTTGGAAAGTGCTTAATTGCTCCCTAACCTCCCTCCCCTCTCTCCTAGCCGCCGGCCCCATCAAAGGGGGAATCCCCTTTAAGGCTAGTTAATGACAATTAAAGCTCTTGATTCAAATTTCAAATCCAATTTAACTCCCTCCAAATTTACTTGAAATCTGAAATTAAATTCAGATTTTAGTAAATCTCTCCCCTCCCTCACCCATGCCGCCGGCCACCTAAGGAGGAATCCCATTAATGCAATTTTAATGCATTCATTACACCTATTTCAAAATCCGAATTCAAATTATTCTCCCACCAAATTTAATTAAATCTGAAATTAAATTCATATTTTAATTAAAACTTCCCCCACACCTCCTCATCACCTAATCTCCTAACCCTAGCCGCCTCTCACACTCCATAGCCGCCCCTCCTTTGCTCTCTTCCCCACCTTAGGCCGACCCTCTCTTAATTCCCCTTGAGAGGTTGAGACAAAAGAAGAAGACGACAACATCTCCCCCACCCACTTCAATGTTGAATGGCGGATCCCGAGCTTGAGTGGGATCTTGTATTCAACGCCGACG